TTCTTGTCTTCTTGTCCCTGAGTAGGTCTGAGGGCTTGCCAACTGCACTGTGGCTACTAAGGGAGCAAATAGGATGCCCTCTTCCACAATTCTCTGTTCAGAAGTTTCTTTAACCCTCAGAGGCCCAAGAATAGCTTGAATGAAGTCACTTCAAGAAGTTATCTGGGCACTAGTGGCTCAAGCCTGTAATCCTAGTGTCTCAAGGCTGCAATCTGAGGAACATAGTTCAAAGCCTGCTTAGTCAGGAAAATCCATGAGACTCTTATCGCCAGTTAACTACCAAATGCCCAGAAGTGGCTCTGTGGCTGAAGTGGTAAAGGGCTAGCCTTGAGCAAGAAAGCTCAGGGACAGTGCCCATACCTGGAGTTCAAGCCCCAGTACCAGCACAGAAAGTAAAATAATAATAAAAAGAAGAATCAAGTCAATCACAGCCTAGGTAAGAGGCTCTAAGCTATACGTCATGACTGGGACTGAAGGCAAAGCAAAAGAACTGGGTACTGACCATTCACTTACCCAGTGTGTGTGTGTGTGTGTGTGTGTGTGTGTGTGAAGAGAAGGGCCCCACTTCCTTATTTCATGTGTGTGTGTGTGTGTGTGTGTGTGTGTGTGTGTGTGTGTGTGAAGAGAAGGGCCCCACTTCCTTATTTCACACAAAAAGGTATAGGGTAAAATCACTCAACATTTCCTCCGGATAGAGGCCCAGCAGAAGAGACTGGCTCAGGATAAAGGAATATGAGACAGGTTAGCATGATAGAAAGAAAAGAAAAGCAGGAATAGGAATGCATCGTTGGCTAGTAAGACATGTTGAGAGCTAACTTAGGATCAATTCGTGTCTGGCTGGCACTGCTTCCCTGAAAGCCAGCTCCACAGTGTCCAGACATAAGAAGCATCACCTTGGGAGTGATCACCTAGAAGGCTGGTGGAGCCAATTCTCAGGCTGCCCTTCGTCAGGACCTGTGCAACAACTTCTGTGGGCCAGCATTGTTGCTCCCCCAGAGGCTCAGGCAGAACACCACCACTGTTTTTCTCTCCTAGCCCCCTCAGGAAAGAGGATTTTATTTTTACTGTACCCTTTGGGTTTTAGAAGGGAAAACATAGGTTTAGGGTCCTGTGAACTGATAGGCCTTCTCTATCAGGGCCACAGCTGGGAGCAGGGATGGCAATCGCAGGAGGGTTGAGATGTTAGGGTACAGCTACACTTGCCAGGTACCAGTCAGCCTCTTACTGCTAACCTCCTGTCCAGGAGGTTGCCTGGGCTGTGTCACTAGATCTAGACTGTTGAGCAGGCTCACCTGGCCTGTCTTCTGTCACCGCCTCTGTCCCTGTGTCTTTAGATTCAGTCCCTCCCCAGCACACCACCTGCTCCTGAGCCCCACCATCTCCCTGTGACAGGGGAATTTTGTGTACTGTGTCTCGGGTCCATTATATGAATCGTGAGCAGGGTTCATCTATTTTAAACACAAATGTTTACAAAATAAAGAATATTTCAAACCACAGGTGTGTCTACCTATGTGAATCCTGGAGGAGTCTCACTGGGATCCTAGTTATGAAAATGGCAGGAGCATGGGTAGAAGAGGTCCTAGAATCCTCTGACAGCAGCAGTACAGTGACAGTGGAGGCGTTATACTTGGGTCTTCTGTTTCCAACATAAAGTTCTCACTGCCCCCAGAGCAGGTTTATATCACAGGAATAAAATTAACAGTCACCAAGTGCCAGTGGCTCATATCTGTAATTCTAGCTACTCAGGAGATGTGAAGATCATGGTTCAAAGCCAGGCAGGAAAGTTCATTAGACTTCTATCTCCATTTAACCACCAGAAAGCCTGAAGTGTGATTCAAATGGTAGCATGCCAGCCTTGAATGAAGAAAAAGCTAAGGGAGAGCATGCAGATGAATTCAAACTCTAGTTTGAATACACACACACACACACACACACACACACACACACACACAGAGTCACTGGAAGGGAAGAGGAAGTTGAATATCTAAGCTGTGGGGTTTTCAAAGATAGTAGATTCTCACTTGTTCTGGATGAATCAGGAAAGCTTGTCCTAAGGGACCGAGTGATCTTTCAGATTTTTGATTGGATACTTGGGAAGCAGAGGTTGAATGGAATCTCTGGAGGACTCTAGATATTTAATACTGATATGGAGCTAATGGACAAAAATGTTTTGGGGGTAAGAATGGAAGGAAGGGAGGGAGTAAAGTAGGGCAGGTCACCAGCAATAGTCTTTAACATCTTAACCATACTTTATAGAGCACATTTGTGATACCTTACTTCTCTGATCTAACAATGATGGAAGGTGATGTTCTTTTTTGTTTTCTCAAGGTATTTTTATCCGTGTTTAACAGGTAAGGAGATAGGTGCTCAGGGAGCTTTAAAGACTGGCTGAAGGGCCACAACTATCTGGCATAAACTCATCTAGAAACCACTGTATTGAATCCAGAGAAAGGACAAAGCTTTGGCATTTCAGTTTAGAACAATCTTTATAAGCAATTCTCTTTGGGACTCAGAACTAAGAACCTAGGCTTTTCTTCACCATCTACTAAGGTAGTACTGCCTCCAGAACCACTGTGCCTCTTGTGAAAGCCAGGAGAAACACATTTGTTAGTGCATACCCAAAGTTAAAAGGTTCTGGAAAATGGAGCCATTATGAGTGAAGCTGGAGACAAAGGAATATTCTATAAGTGTCTCATCAACTTTATTGTGAGAGATTCCAGACAGACACCTGAGAGTTCTATGTTTTCCTGGCGAAATGGAAGAGCATGCACCCTATCCCTCTGCCCCACTCTGGACTCCTTTTGTCTGCCCAAAGAGGGCTTGCAAAATGGCAGTGAATAAGAGATGGCTCTGGAAGCACAGCACTAGTCAGGCATATAAAAATCTGGCTAGTTAATGTTAAGTTTCAGCCGCTGTCAGTGTGCCAAGTCCCGCTGACTCAGTGGTTTAGTAAAGACACTTACTGGCTGTATCCAGGGACTCCACCCAGTGCCAGCAAAGGACACACTTAAATGTACTTCCTGCCACCCCCTTCATTCCTGTTAGACAATGGAAACTTGCTTTTATAGAGATGCTGGCTGAGATGTACAGTTCCCATGCACTAAGACAGCCATCGAACAAGCTATGAGACAGAAAAGCTGGGCACTCCCTGGCGAGTAGTTCCTCCATCTCTCCACAAATCAGATTCTCAAGACCAGCTGCTCTCCATCCTTGCTTACGCTCTATTCTTGGAGTCTATTCCCAATGGATGTGTACCTGTGAAAACACTTTCCAGAAAGCATGTGCCTGCTTAAAACATTTATTTTGTATTATCTTTAAGTAGTTGTACAAAGGAGGTGCCATATAACAAAGCAGTTTATGAATATAATGCATCCTGATCAGTGTCATCCCCTTTTAACATACTCACTTTCCTTTAACCCATTCCTTCCCTTATTTTTCTTTATTATTACTTTTTGGTATATACAATGAATTTTTTTAACTGCATTCTTCCCCTCTTCCTCCCTTCAGTCATCTACTCCTCTCCCCTTGGCTCCATCTCTTCTTGGAAGTATCAATTTCCTGGTGTTTTGTTGAGCTTTGACCTAGTCTTTCTAAAAGATTATACTATTTGAGCTCTCCATAGTCTATTATACTTTAATTAATTCATTTGTAACCACTTGCATACCACCCAGTGTGTTTACTTAGATTTATAGACACACGCTGGCTACCTCAAATGAGGGAAACTATGCAACCTTTGTTTCTCTGGGTCTGGCCTACATCACTTAATATAATTTTTCCCAAGTCTTTCCATTTCCTTACTAGTGGTACAATATCATTCTTTCTAATAGGTAAGTAAAATTACATTGTGTACATATACTATATTTTCTTAATCTATTCATCCATTGAGGGGCATCTGGGCTGACTCTGTATCTTGGTTATGGTGAAGTGTTGCAGTGAGCACAGTTGTGCTGGTGGCTTTATTGTTATCTTGATTGTGTTCTATTGGATAAATGCCCAGGAATGGGATTGCTGGGACATAAAGTAGTTCTATTGTGTTTGTCTTCTTACTAAAATTTTACTCTAAAATCTGACGCTAGGGAAAACCTACTTTTTAGTTTTACTAAAGGAGAAATAAAAGCATTTTTTTTTTTTGGTAAGTTGTTGACAGGTGTTTAGAAGAGTGGAATGGCATTAGGGTCTTTTCTGTTTCTGTGGGCTCCCATGGCAGCCCTTAGATCATCTTGAGATGTCTTGGAATTTACTGAACTGCTGGAGTTAAAGACATCATGGTAGCTGCTCTAGTAGAACCACAGCAGCTTTGCTTCCTTTCACCCTTCCTTCTCTGAGTGGATGGCCAGCACAAGCCCACTCTGTGAAGTCTTGAGGCCTAAACCTCTGATGAAAAAGAGATGAATGCAGTTCATCTACCCTGAATTTACCCATCTGTTCTGTGGCCTCCTTACAGTGACACCTCCAGCAATGACCTCATCCTCATGACCAGGGAGATATAAGTGGAGGGTATATCAGAAGATGGTACAATGAAGAAGCAAAGAGGGAAGAAAGACCATCACTCAGTGAAAAACAACAATAAAAACCAAAAAACCCCACAAATTTTCCAAGACAAACACAACTTCATCTCTTTTGCCTGGTGGAAGATAAGGATGGAGAGTCTCCCTTCCTCCCTCCCTCCCTTTTTTCCTTCCTTCCTCCCTTCCTTCCTTTTCTCTCTCTTTCCCTCCTTACTTTCTTTTCCTCTTCCTCCTCATCCTTCCCTCCCCTTTCCCCTCAGCCAAAAAGTCATTATTTCTAGAAAATGATACACTCTCTTCCTAAGGGGTCTTTTGATTTTGTGCTAATGGAAAGCTATAGCTAAAGAGAAAAATGTAAAAAGTCATCTGAAGCAGGTGGACACAAACCCCATATCTCTTCCTCTTCAACACACCCTTACCCGTCACTGCACAATTCAGAGATTGACACTGAATAAATGCATTCAGTTAATGTCTGTGTCAAGTGAAAACAATCTGCTAGGGCAAACAGAAGTCAATCTTGCATGCCTCCCTCCCTTTTTTCCTCCTCATCTGACCTTTGGGGCTCTGGTTTCCTTCAAGGAGTAAATTATTCACATCTGCTCACAGATATCAAATTGGCCCTTTCCAGGTTGCCAGCAGGGTGGGGCAGGAGGTGGCTTTGTTCAGTTGGTAAGGAGGAGGAGCAACCTCCTTGTTCAAACAACGTGTACAGGTGGGTGCATGTTTTTGCTAAGTCATCCAGGGAAGGCTCAAAGGCCTTTTGTGAGATCTTCTGTTATTCCTGGCTCCTCCTTCCTCCCCACCCCTTTGATAGACCCTTAAGTGGGCTCCAACAACTGGGCAGGGCTCACTCTGCGCTTCACCATGGCCTACATCGCCAAGTCCTTCTATGATCTTAGTGCTATCAGCCTGGATGGGGAGAAAGTAGATTTCAACACGTTCCGAGGCAGGGCAGTGCTGATCGAGAATGTGGCATCGCTCTGAGGCACAACCACCCGGGACTTCACCCAGCTCAATGAGCTGCAGTGCCGCTTTCCCAGGCGCCTGGTGGTTCTCGGTTTCCCTTGCAACCAATTCGGACATCAGGTGAGGGGTCTTTTGGGTGTGGCTCTTGCAGGACAAGGAAAGAGGATGAATGACTGTGTTGGAGTGTCTGGAATTGAGGGGCATACTTCCTCATGCTGAGTGTTTGGGTGCAAGTGCAACACCATAGGGAAGTTTAAGGTTAAACATGGAGGATGTGTGTTTTCATTGTTCTATGGTCTTCTCCACTGTAATATATGAGGGCTTCTACCCGTTGTGTCTTTTTTCTCCACTGAGTCTTCAGAGCCTAGGATACCAAATGCATGCATTAAATATGTGTCAAATGAACAAGTGAAAGAAACAGGTTTAAAGTCAAACTGATTGGACTGACTCAGGAGACCTTTATTCCTGCTCTATTTGGTGCTGCTTTGGTACTCTGGGCCTTTCAAAGAGGCCCTGAATGTTTCTGCTTTAGTTTCTGCATCGGTAAGCTAGAGGTAATGCCACTTAGCTCACAGGATCGTTGTGAGGTTCATAAGGTAAGATATGGAAAAGTAACTAGAAAAATAGAAAATACTACATAAATATAAGCAATTTACTGTTTAGATCAGAGACAGGTTTATTTAGATTGTCAAGTGGAGAGGGAATGGGAGAAAGGCAAAGGCCTCTCGGAATCACATGCACATGTCCGTATCTGAGCCAGGTTATTACAGATCTTCAGCCCTACACCCTGTTACCTTTCAGTGATTCCTCTACTTATGATCCGAGTTGTAGAAACAGGCAGGATATCACCAAGTGAACCCTTTACTAATCTCCTTAGTTCAACTCACAGTGACATAAAGGTAAGGAAAAATTAGCTGACCTATAAGCAGGAAGGATGTAGGATCACTGGCTGTGACGAACTGAAGCCCAAACCGTTATTCCTCTGCTCACCATTCCCCTGCTCTTAGTTCTCCTTCTAGCCTTTGCCAGAGCACAGGGGCATAAAGGAAGGGCATAGCCTCTTAAGAGATGTCCTGCCAGTCCTAGCCTCACTATCTAGGCTCACTATCACTCTGGGCTGCCTAGGTGCTGGAGGGCGTCCATAACCTACCAGGAGCCAGCCGGCCATTTGCATCAAGAGATAAGTGTAATAGAGATCAGATGGGGCTTGTGAATGTCACCAAGGCCTAGAACTGACTGTACTAATGACTCTTTTAGTTGGTCCAAGGCAGGATCTTTCTCTCCAAGCGAGATCTGACTTTTAGCCTGGGGGAGAAAATAGATTCTCACTGGCATTTGGGGGTTGTCAAGTGTAGAGATTGTGATTGGGCCGAGGTTTAGGGATGGTAGTGAAGAGGGGAAGACCGGTAACAGATTCTGAGCTAAAGCATTTGGGGCTGATTACAGCGACTAACAATGAGGTTGGCTGTCTTTGGATAGCAGCAAAATGAAAGCAATAATTTATTATATTCACAACCTTTAGTCTTCAAGCACTTATTTCTTCAACCCCTATTCTAGATCAGAAGAACTCTATTTTTCATCTTATTTATCTCTATTGGTCACCAAGTAATGCCATTTAGACTACAGTAATTGTTGTTGCCTACCTATTTTGCCTTTCCCTTCTATGGGTTCCTCCTTCATTGGTGGCCTCCTATTTGCATTTTAGGTTTAGGATAAAGTAGGATGAAAGCCAGAAACTGTAATCCCATTCTCCTGGGCTTCACTTTCACCTTCTGAGAAGACAGAGAAAGAAGGGAGAGGGAGAAGAATAGAGAGGAAGGAAGGGAAGAGAGAAAAAGGAGGGGAGGCGAAAGAGGGAGTGTGTATGCATTTGTACTGATACATAGATGATCGCAGGTAAGATGGTTTAGAGTGTCTTGTGCCTCCTTTCCTTTGCTTCTTCTGCCCCCAAATCAAGGTTCCCTGGAGTTTCAAATAAATACTTTATGAACCTCTAAGGGTCAATTATGTTCGGAAGCAACAGTTCATATGTTCAGTCTGAAGTATAAGAGCAGCAAAACTAGCAACTACAAGAACTTTCAGAAATGGCCTAGTACACTATCAAATAATATCAGGGAGAGGAAAAAACCCCACAATGAATACACAGATAAAATGGAGGAGAAACACACACATTACATAGATAGAAAAGAATGATCCTGGCAAGGGAGTTTTGGAGAAAAGATTTCCATTAATGGACCCCTGGCTTCCTTTTGCCTTTTCCATGTTCCTTGTCTTGTTTTCTCCCCTAGGAGAACTGTCAGAATGAGGAGATCCTGAACAGTCTCAAGTATGTCCGCCCTGGGGGTGGATACCAGCCCACCTTCACTCTTGTCCAAAAGTGTGATGTCAATGGGCAGAATGAGCATCCGGTCTTCGCCTACCTGAAGGACAAGCTTCCTTATCCTTACGATGACCCATTTTCTCTCATGACCGATCCTAAGCTCATCATGTGGAGTCCGGTGCGCCGCTCAGATGTGTCCTGGAACTTTGAGAAGTTCCTTATAGGGCCGGAGGGGGAGCCCTTCCGCCGCTACAGCCGTACCTTCCAAACCATCAACATCGAGCCTGACATCAAGCGCCTCCTCAAAGTTGCCATATAGATGTGAGCTGCTCAGCATGCTGATCTCCCAGTCCTCCCAGACCCTAAGCATCCTTCCTTAGGATTCAGCGTGCCCTCCGAGGGCATTGCTGGATCTAAGCTCTCTCTGTACATCACTCCCCTTCATTGAAGAGCTTTGCTTTTCCATCCGCCTGTTTTCTTTCTCTCTCTCAACCCTCCTGGTGTTTTAACTTGGGGCTCTAAGACTCAGGTAGGCTTCGGGCCTTCACAGAATGATGGCATCTTCCTAAATCCTAATGGAAGATGTCTGAAAAGTGTGAAGGGCCTGGAACTAGCCTGCTAGCCGACGAGTCTAATAAAGGGCAGGTGTGGAAATGGCCAGGCTCTTTTGTCTTCTTGTCCAATGGGTGGTACACACTGCGGTGAGATAGAGGAGGTAGTGGCATACTAGCTCCGTTTTGGTCGAGAGAAGATGATCAAGGGAATACTCTAATGGCTATCTGGAAAGGAGACTCTTGGTAGAAAATGTGAATTTTATTATTTTATGGCTCCTTTCCAGAATTGGGGAAAAACAGGAATAAAGAGAACTAAAAGCCTCTTTGGCTGGGCACACTGGGAAGAGAGGGGTTTGTTGTATGATTACAATCAAGAAAATATATCACTGTGGGTATTTGTCCAGCTAGGAATTATCTGTACTTTGAGAAATTCCTGAAATTCCAGTTAGTCAACTACTGACAGCAAAGACACACAGGGTGCAGTTACTGGAAACACAGGACTTTATTCTTTTCCCAGTTACCTGATTGGATTGTATGGTTTTGATCTTTTGCTAGACTGAGCCTCCTTTTAAAGGTCACATTCTTCCCCTTCTTCTCAAGCTTTTTATTTTTATTTTTTCAAATCAGGCACGGGGCCTGAACTCTGGGCCTGGGCGCTGTCCCTCAGCTCTTCAGCTCAAGGCTAGCGCTCTACCACTTGAGCCACAGCGCCACTTCCAGCTTTTTCTGCTTATGTGGTGCTGAGGAATCAAACCCAGGGTCTCATGTATGCAAGGCAAGCATTCTGCCACTGAGCCACCTTCCTAGCCCCTCTTCTCAAGCTCTGAATCTGACAAACTTAGGCTCAAGGCAGAGGCATGAATGGCTGGGTTCATTTCTTCCTTCAGAATTTGTAAGCTGTAAGAACTGCTGTATGGAGTGGCTTTGTAAGGACAGTGCCCTCCTCCAGTCGGGCACTCCCAAGTCACCTCACCACCCAGGCTGTGCTCTATCATATTCTCACGTGGGAGAGGAACTGCCCTATCCCTTTGCCTTGTGAACCTCATCCTGGAAACTTCTCACTACACTTTTCCCTTTGGCCACTAGGTGGAACGTTTTACTTCTCATTGAAGGCCTAAAGGGGCAATTTTGTAAACTACTGCTCAAAAACTCCCATGTTAACCCAGAAATGATTTCCTTTTAATCTGCTCTTCATCAGTTCCAAGTCTTTATATCATCTGTGAAGCCATTATGAAACAGAGACTAAAGTTCCTCATTGTCTGACCTTCAACTGAAAGTTTGTTATTGGTGGTGCTTTCTTGCAAAAGGGTAATCTGAGCATTATAATGGGAATCCCCTGGCATCTTTCTGTAGCACCTTCTCTAAATTAAGGCTGCCCTCCACTTGACACAAGCCTTTCAGATTCTTTCTCTTAAAGCTACTGGGGTGTGAATGTTTTTGAGGCAGAACCACGTACACACTGATTTCACAGCAGTTAACTACAGAGACAAATTGCTTCCCTGATAAAATTGAGAGGTTCATGTTGGATGCTTCTATGATTTGTTTATTATTTTGATGGTACTATACCCTGTTGTTACATCCAGCAACAGCCAGCAATCCTGGATGTTAGCATTACGACACTAGCAATTGAAGGCTTGATATACCAGTGCAGTGTCTTAGGTCTTTCCTACGAGGCTCAAGTTGAATAATTTATGGATTCCCAAAGGAATGAGCATTTCAGTATAAGTGATTTTGCAATGAATCAGAAGGAACTACAATGCCAAAAGAGGGCTCCTCAGGGAAATGCTGCTTGATTCAGACAAGACCTGATCAGTCTGGCTCAGAAGGAACAGGTAGGAAAGATGGCAGGAATCTGTTTTACAAGGACCTTGACCTTTAAGCCTTTTACTGTGGTGTTATTAAAATGAAGAGAAAATACTCTTTTCCTTTACTTTTCATCTGTCCTCCTTTTCACTCTCTGCAGCAGCAAATTATGGTCATCAACACGCAAGGCAAAGCTTTTTCATGGATAAACAAATTCTTTTAATCAAATTTCCCTGGGGGCACTGAGAAGTAGAGAGAAGTCTCATTAACACACACTTTCAGAAGTGCTGAGATAATGCTGCTCAATTTAGAGGGATGACATAATCACTTCTCTGAGAGTTCTCACAAAAAATACAATTTGGAAGAAGTATCTTTAGGAGGACCGATATATACAGACTGAAATTGATTGTCTGACTATGTCCCTATTGCAATAGCTTTCTTAAATAAAAACTGAGCCAAACTCTAAAACTTCCTCAAAATCACCATCACAGCCACTAACAAACCACCAGTTACCAAATATTTTCTATATTCATTAATAGCACTAAGTACTTTCCATACATAAGGTTATTTATTCCTCATTTGGACTTCATTTTTTTTTATCACTAAAGAGAAGTTAGTTGGGCAAGATACCTGCCAGGGACAAAAAGGGTAGAAATGAAAGCCATGTCATTCTAAGCCCAAAGCATCTACATCACCACAGTGCTGCTCACATTTTCTTTCATAAGCCCACTGATTAGTCCAGATTATTATGATTACTATTATTTGCCCACTCTGGGGCTTAAACTCAGGGCCTCATACTCATTCAGTTTACATATTCACAGCTAGCATTCTACCACCAAACCATGGCTCCAGTCTAGCATTTTTACTATGGAGATAGTGTCTCAGGGACTTTCCTACCTGGGCTGGCATCAAACCAGGATCACATCTCCGCTTCCTGAATAGCTAGGATTACAGGCATGCACTACCAGTGCCCAGTTGTGTCCAAGTTATTTGAGTTACTTACATTAACAGAGCAAGAAAACAACTCTTAAGTAGGTCTAATACATGAGTACATATGTGCAGCCAGGTTTATATGAACATCTCTATGTGTTTATATGTATATGTTTTGCATATATGTATGTGCATTTATGTAGACAGAAAATCCCACATAAACATTTCTGTTTAGATATATATGTATGTATGTACATATATATATATATATATATATATATATATATATATATATATAGGCAATTGGTGCTAATCATTCAACTCTGGTCACATGGGACAGAAGAGAGTCATAGACGAAGTGTAGCAAAAAAGTGCAAGATGGATGGAGTAAAGATGTTTCCTCATCCTTCAGCTTTCCTTGCTGATCTATAAATTCTGAATAGCAGGCATTACAAAAATAACAAGAAGTTACTAGTAATAAACAAAAGGAACAAAAAAGGCCACCAAGAAAGGCCTGCACACACCACTGTGTTGCTCAAAATGCTTTCATTGACAATTATAGCAGTTGATTAAAAAAAAAAAAAAACCTATGGAGTGTTTATTACAGCACTTCACAAAAGCCAGGTTATGAAATCAGCCTAGATGCTCAGCAATGGATGCATGAAGAAAATGTGGCATATAAATTCATTTTCTTTAGTCATAAGAACAAAATTATTATCATTTGTAGAAAAGTGAGAAGTGGGGCTGGGAAGGTGGCTCAGTGGTAGTGCTTGTCTTGCATGTATGAGGCCCTGGGTTCGATTCCTAAGCATCACATCAGCAGAAAAAGCCAGAAGTGGCACTGTGGTTCAAGTAGTAAAGCGCTAGCCTTGAGCTGAAGAGCTGAGGGAGAGTGCCCAGGCCCAGAGTTCAGGCTCATGATCGAAAAAAAAAAAAAAAGTGAGAAATGGAGATCACCATGTTAAGTGAAATAAGCTAGACTCATGTTTTCTTTCTAGTGCAGACTCTAGGTTAGAAAAAAATTAAAAAGCCAGGTGCTGGAGCTCACAACTATAAACCTAGCTACTGAGGAAGTTGAGATCTAAAGATCAAAGTAGGAAATAAGTCAAAGCAGATAAATCCAAGACTCTTATCTCCAATTAACCAGCAAAAAGCCAGAAATGAAGGCATGGTTCAAGTGGTAGTCAATCATAAGCAGCCAATTGAGTGCATGAGGCCCAGAGTTTAAACCCCAGTAGGCACAAACAAACAAAAAACATGAAAATAAAGTGGAGATTATTTGGGAAGAAGTTGGTTAGTAGGAGAAGGGACAAGAAAGAGTAATGCATGTGGATATGTGGGTGAACATGACCAAATTACATTATACATAGGTATGCAAATGTCATAATGAAAGCATTAAAAATGTGCAACCTTCCAAAAAACCCAATAATGACATTTTATATGATGCTTTCTATTTTCCATTATTTTCTAGAAGAAACTGAGATAGACAGGATAACTATGGCAAAGCCAATTCTATATATAGCATGTACTCTGTGATTTCTTTTTTTACCTAGTTAGGTACAAAGTTGTATCTCACAATACAGACTTGTACTACAGTCCACAAACAGACATTTTAGCATTAAGCACTTCAAATTCAGTCAAGTAATTAGACTTGTCCACAAAACAATAGATTCAAACCAGCAGGATTTTTGATACACTGAAATATAGAACAGTGAACATATATCACTTAGTAACAATCTATATGAAACAAAAAATATTTTTTGTGCCTAAGCTGGGTTATATGTCAATTAGTATTGAGGGATTCCAAGAACAATAAAATAACACAACAAATGCAGGTTGAACTTTTCATTTCAAGCTGTCGACTACGTAGACACTAGATTTGCACAACTTAAAGTGAGCAGAGAAAGAGTGAGGAATCAGGACCAGACCATGTTTTCAATGACACCCACAAGTGATTTCTTTTCCGTCTAGAAGCTCAAGAAAGGAAATAGAGACTACAACTTTTGCCTAGTTCCTCTTTATTTAAACAGGAAAATAAGGATTCAGTGAGACTAGGTTTTTTGTTCTATTAGACCCCTCCCCCCACAGCATTCTAGGAGACAAAGTAATACAACAAAGAACAATGGTGTGAACAATGAAATATATAGATAAGATCTTCTGTTTTAATTTTTTTATCCATATCCAATACAAATAGATAATTATAGGAATTAACAGGGACATATAAGACCATACTCATGAGCTTCAAATGACTAAGCTGGAAGCATTAGCAAACTCCAAGAATGGACAATGCAAAGGCTGTAATAGGCTTAGTGCTGCTATTTAAAGTAATGAATTTTCTCTGCTTTTTGAATTCATTTCACCAAACTATCTCCTCAGCAGGTCAGATATAGATTTGCAGCCAAAAGGAAAACATTTTCCAGGAATAAAACTGATCCTGACACAGCAGCTGACTTAACTTTTCTGAGTTAAACTTTTCTGAGGAATAAATCTTTTATCTGATATGATGAGATTCCTTGGAGTGCTGTCACTGATATTCTCAGCCTCTTCCTAACCTTGCCAAGCTCTTAGCGGGTCATCAAAATTAGAATTCAAATGTTCCTCAAATGGGAATCATGTGATGTTTTTCTCATGATTAGAATGAGATTATGGCTCTTTGGGAGGAAGACCACAGAGATGAAGTGCTACTCTCATCAAGGGTACATGCTATTAACATGATTTATTGTTGATAAAAGTTAAATAACCTTGATCACGTGGCTGTTTATCAAATTTTTCTACTATATAGTTACTCATTCTCCCTGCTTTCCATATTCTACTCTTTGGGAGGGAAGGAAGTCATTATGTGCACACTTAAGGAGTAGAAATATCTTTTCTTTTTTTTTTTTTTGGGTCCGGTCGTGGGGCCTGAACTCTGGGCCTGGGTGCTGTCCCTCAGCTCTTCAGCTCAAGGCTAGCACTCTACCACTTGAGCCACAGTGCCACTTCCGGCTTTTTTCTTTTTGCTTATGTGGTGCTGAGGAATTGAACCCAGGGCATCATGCATGCAAGGCAAGCGCTCTACCACTGAGCCACCTTCCCAGCCCAGGGGTAGAAATATCTATAGAATATTTACTCAGGACTGGGAATGTGGCTTAGAAGTTCAATGCTTGCCTAGCATGTATGAAGCCCTGGGTTCGATTCCTCAATACCACATGAACAGGTAAAGCCAGAAGTGGCACTATGGCTCAAGTGGTAGAGTGCTAGCCTTGAGCAAAAACAGCTCAGGGACATTGCCTAGGCCCTGAGTCCAAGCCCCTGGACTGGCAAAAAAAAAAAAAAAAAAAAAAAAAAAAATTATTTACCCATGGGAGATTTGTTTGTATCCATCCATCCATCCATCCTTCATTCATTCATTCAATCACTTATTAACATCAGAATGGATTAATTTATTATATAGTTTGGGTCGTGTTCCAATACCACTTCATTTATTTCTTTGTTCAAGTTGTTCAGGTGTGGTAACTGGGAACTTCTTAGTTGCTCCTTTGTCTATCTGACATACTCCTGGTCATTGTGTTATTTTTTTTATGACTTCATTGTTGTTGGTTTTTTGTGGCATAGATGCTCCAGACTCATCTTGCATATTTCCTCCCCAATTCTACCAGTCATTTTCCCAAGGAGTTCTGGTTCCTTCTATGGAAAAAGCAAGATTCGGGCTCTAGGTGTACACTTAATTTAGTTACTTTCTGGTCAGATAATTGTTAAGTAGAAATTTCAGCAAAAGCTTGGCTCTAGGGAAATACAAATCTCCTTTACTTTTTTGTTCAAAGAATTGCTGTTTAAGCAGCAAAAACAAAAAATAAATTAATTAAAATATGCAAAGAAGTTTCATTATTAGATAAAACATCAGGATTGCTGTATTTTAAACTAACCAACATGGTTACAACAGAACTAGGAATCTTAGAATAACAAAGTCATTTGTCGAGGGTCATCAGGGAGAATACTTATAGTATCTTCAGCTTTGCCACATAACAGACACAGCATGGTGTATTCCTAGAAGACAAAGTACATAATTACCTCAATATATAAAGAAAAGCATGCTCAATAACTGACTTTGTTGGCTACAAAGCGCCATAGATATTCTCTCTGTACATTAGATCAATTTCTTCAACATTTATCAGCAATATCTTAGGTTTGTGCTGCATATCCCCAGAGGGCCCCCCCCCCCCGCTTTTTTTAAAATATAGAGTACATGATGCTGCTTTATTTACTACAAATATAACAATGCCATCTTGGAAGTGCATAGCTATTTCTTGGACTTGAGTGTAGGTACCTAAGGATAAATTTCCATTCTTAGAGCTGTACTTTCTTTTTAAGATATTAAACTCTTTAGAAGGGAAGGAAGAAAAATATGAAATAAGAAAGAAAAAAATTTCTAAACTTAAAAAGCTGTTTTTAGTTAATATAGAAAAATATGTTAAATTCACTAGTACTTCATGCCTCATACTTAAACAGCAAATTGCCTGAAAATTCATCTATTTGAAGAGGTTGTGTCTTGGGCTTAACAAATATCCAGACTAGAGACAGAAGGGATTTTATTTTAGGCAAAAATCCTTAGGGCAAAGTCTTGTTCTTTTTTTTTTTGACGGTCATGTGGGCCTGGGCACAATCCCTCAGCTCTTTAGCTCAAGGCAAGCACTTTACCACTTGAGCCACAGCACCACTTCCAGTTTTCTGAGTGGTTTATTGGAGATAAGATTTCACGGACTTTCCTGCCCCAGCTGGCTTTGAACCACGATCCTCAGATCTCAGCCTCCTGAGTAGCTAGGATTACAGGCGAGAGCCACCAGCGCCAGAGTCAAGTCTTGTTCTTATAGCTGTAACTTTCTAGAATATTTAACACATACACTGTATAGGCATATTTATTTTAAACTTAAAAATGTTCAGTCTTCTTTAGGAAAACAAATATATGTTACATCTATTAGTATTTCTACATCTGATATTGAAATTGCTAGTTGTCTGGAAACTAATCAGTCAAGGTGGAGTCTCTTGGGTCTGGGCAAACACTAGAGAGGACTACAGACATAGAGACAATGGTGAGATTCTCAGCAGCAGACAACTTTGTTCCCTTTCCTATGGGTGAGTTCAAGAAGGGCAACACAGTCGTGGCAGTAGAAAGGCTGCTTCTTTTATTCTTATTTTTTTGCCAGTCCTGGGGCTCGAACACTGAACTTTTGGTCAAGGCTAGCACTTTACCCCTTGAGTTACAACTCCCCTTCAGGCTTTTTGGAGATAAGTCTCATAGACTTTCCTGCCCCTTGCTGTCATCAAATCATGATCCTCAGACCTCAGCTTCCTGAGTAGCTAGGATTACAGGTGTGAGCCACCAGCACTTGGCTGAAAGACTGCTTTTTGAAAACTACATTTTAATTAATTTAATTGATTGTGTTGGGAATCAAAACCTAGGGCCTTGTGCATGCTACATAGGAAACCTACCACTGAGCTACGTACCCAGGCCCCACACTTTTAATTTTTTTTTTTTTTGGTCCAGTCGTGGGGCTTGAACTCTGGGCCTGGGCGCTGTCCCTCAGCTCTTCAGCTCAAGGCTAGCGCTCTACCACTTGAGCCACACTGCCACTTCCGGTTTTTTTTCTTTTTGCTTATGTAGTGCTAAGGAATCAAACCCAGGGCCTTGAGCATGCAAGGCAAGCGCTCTACCACTGAGCCACCTTCCCAGCCCCACACTTTTAATTTTTAAGTCTACCATATACGTTCATTATGTATATTGGAGTCTAAAACATACTTTCATCATGTATATTGGAGTCTAAAACATACAGAACAAATATTCATGCATTAAAAATAACCATTCAGCCTCTCCAATGTCTTTTTACTGCTCTCAAAGACCTCTATTGCTTTAACCCAGCAGATATTACTAATGAGATAACAACCTCTCACTGTTAATGAAGAAATAAGTACCAGACAAAAAGGGAAAATGTTAAGAGAGCTGAGGGTCGGTAGATCACTCCTATAATCCTAGCTACTCAGGAGGTAAGATCTGACGATCACAGTTTGGAGCCAGCCCAGGCAGGAAACTCTGTGAGATTCTAATCTCCAATTAACCACCAAAAAACAAACAAACAAACAAACAAAAAACCCAAAACAGAAAAACAACAACAAAAAACACCTGGACTTGAAGCTGTAGCTTAATTGGTAGAGTGCCTTGAGTGCCCAGGCCCCAAGTTCAAGTTCCATGACAGGTGTGCGCATGCACACACACGCACGCACGCGCACACGCACACACACACACACACACACACACACACACACACACACACACACACACACACACACACGGGAAAATGTATGAAGTTAGCAAATAGTTCTGTTTTCAACCAATCTATCCTCTGTCAAATTTATATTTGGTGCTCTTGTGCTCTATGAGGCACAAGGTATACTGGCAACCATTTAGGACAAAATCTGACCTTACATAATTCACAATCTAACTTGGAGGAAAAAAAAAACTAACAAATGAACCTAACACACGATATCATTTGGCAAGATTATTGAATTGTTGAGACTGACTATAGTTTTACTCTTTAACTTATAGACCATTTGGAACCCAAGTTCATTATAAGTCAATGTTTGGAATTCAAAAGCAGTTTCCCACAGTAGCAATATTATATACACAGCAGTTAGGTTCCCAGGAAAATCCACAAATCTTTTAAATTTATATTTTACAAGTGCTATATAATCTAACTATATATAGTAGTACTTCTATGGGAAAGTATGTTTAGAATTCTAACTTGGAATGTCAGAAACACAGCGCCTCATGCAACATGGTGGCCTTAGGACATGTTTCCCTCAAAATGACCAAAGATGGAGAGATCTGGAAGGAAGTATGGAGTAGGTAGAATCACCTCAGCATTAAGAACAGATCCTTTGTTTATTCCAGTGGTCTCTTGGTCCTTTCCCTGTTACTCCCATTCACTGTGACTCGACATCCTTGACCCACGGGAGGGAGAAGACATTCTCACAGTTCCTCTCTTATTTCCTGAGGTAAACATGTGAGTTTTTTTTTTTGGTTATTGTTGTTTGGGTATTTTTGCCAAATGTTTTGGGAGAAACAAAAAATACCTATAACATTTCTAATATATTTTCTTTCTTTCTTTTTTTGGTAGGTGGTGGGGCTTGAACTCAGGGCCTGAGCACTGTCCCTGAGCTTTTTCATATAAGGCTAATGCTCTACCACATTGAGCCACAGCACCAATCCTACTTTTCTGGTGGTTAATTGGAGGTAAGAGTCTCAAGAACTTTCCTGCCTGGCTGGCTTCGAACCACAATCCTCAGATCTCAGCCTCTTGAGTAACTCAGATTATAAGTGTGAGCCATTTGTACCTACCTTCTAATATATTTTCTATCTAAACTTTATACTTCTGCCTCTACCTTCCTCTCTAATCTTGCCATTAGGAAATTTTACTTTGTTCAATAATGGTATTATGGTTGTCTTTAAAAATATAATTCTTAGCTGGGTGCCGGTGGCTCACGCCTATATTCCTAGCTACTCAGGAGGCTGAGATCTGAGGATCGCGGTTCAAAGCCACCCCGGGCAGGAAAATCCGTGAAACTCTTATTTCCAATAAACCACCAGAAAAACTGGAAGTGGTGCTGTAGCTCAAGTGTTAGAGTGTTAACCTTGAGCTGAAGACCTGAGGGACAGCACTCAGGCCCAGAGTTCAAGCCCCATATCCGTCAAAAAAAAAATAATAGTAACAATTCTTATCTTTTAGAGATGAAATATTTAGAGATATGTTTGTGATTTACTTAAAAATAATCCTGATTTGTGTGAGAATGATGTAGTATAAGTAAAACAACATGATGCTGACTAGTGCAGATTAATAGACTATTTTGCCCACTTTCAGTTATGTTTACATTTCCCCTAAAACATTTTGAATAAAAATAAACAATGGTGTTATGGAAGCCCACCTTAAACTTGCACTGCTACTGGAATAAGATAACAGCCAAAGAACAGTGGGAATTAGGATAATAAGTAGCAGTGGATACAAATGAAAAGTTTCTGATCATTAGACTAAGGCAGACATGCCCAATTGGCTAGTCACTTGATTTAGGGCCTCACACAGGTACAAGAAAAATTCAGAAGAAAGAGAAAGTAGTACAAGCTGGACTATCAAGAGCAAGAAGGAAAATTTAGGTTTCTGTAGAGAGCTAAGATTTCATTGGCTTCAAGGTAAAATTCAAATCAAGCAGAAAGCTCAAGGTAGGATTCAAATCAAGAAGAAAGCACAAATTAGGACACTGCTGTGGAAAAGGTTAGATGATCACATTTAGAGCAGGAGAGAAGCAGATGCTCCTGAAGGCTGGTTAGGAGGGGCTAGAGAATAGTGTCTTTAAGGAAGATTAAGCCCATAGTAATGTTCCAAAGTACAATCTGGGGCTGCTGTACTGTGATTTAGGTATGAGCGAATATGGTCCTTGATGTGGTAAATAAAGTTGTGTTAGCTGGAGCTAGAAAAAAACAAGAGAAACAAAGGAAGGCAGGTAGGGCAACAGTTAAAGAAGATCTATAGGGGAAAAACAAAGAAGGAGGCAACAATGCTGGATAAGAAATGTACTCATGGGGCTGGGAAGGTGGCTCAGTGGTAGAGCACTTGCCTTGCATGCCTGAGGCCCTGGGTTCGATTCCTCAGCACCACATAAGCAAAAAGAAAAAGCCGGAAGTGGTGCTGTGGCTCAAGTGGTAGAGCGCTAGCCTTGAGCTGAAGAGCTGAGGGACAGCGAAAGAGTCCACAGTTCAGGCCCCACAACCGGACCCTCCCCCCCCAAAAAAAAGAAATGTACTCATTAAGCCGGGCACCACTGGCTCATGCCTGTAATCCTAGCTACTCAGGAGGCTGAGAGCTGAGGATCATGGTTCAAAGCCAGCCCAGGTAGGAAAGTCTGTGAAACTCTTATCTCCAAAAAAACCACCTGATAACCAGAAGTGGTGCTGTAGCTCAAGTGGTAGAGTGCTCGCCTTGAGCTGAAGGGCTGAGGGACAGTGCTCAGGCCCAGAGTTCAAGCTCCACAACCGACAAAAAAAAAAAAAAAAAAAAGACATGTATTCATTACCTTACTCATGTAACTGTAACCCCTCTGTACAGTATTTTCACAATAAAAAACTTAATTAAAAACAAAGGTCTAGACAATACCTACTAACGACTGAATATGTGTGCTTACTATATGAGGGAATACAGAAAAGATTCCAAATCAGAGATTTCTTCCAGTTTCAGGGAATCATAGCACAACAGAAAAGGAAATAAAAGAAAGCAAAGACAATTCAAATAATTTGAAAGCAAAGTCTGGACTGCAAGGGAAGCAATAGTTAACAAAATCAGATCTAGAAGAGATTAAGATGAGAAACAAAACACCTAGGATTTGGTTACATTTGGTTAGAGTAGCCTTAGTCAAATGAAAATGAAAAACAGTTTGCAGGTAGTTGAAATAAGGAAAATAGGTAAAAGACCTATCAAAGCTGAGTGTGGTAGCATATATGCCTGTCTTCTAGGCAATGTGGAGGCTGAGGCAGGAGGCCAACCTGTACTACACTGCAAAATCTTGTCTCAAGCAAAGAGAGGAAAGAGATGAGCCCCCCCTTTTTTTAATTTAGTTGTTTTTTTTCAGATAGTGTCTCATTTTGCACCCAGAGCCAGCCCTACACCATAATCTACATTACAGATATAAACAAACACACCTGGTTAGTTTGTTCAGATGTGATCTCACTTTTGCCCAGGCTGGCAAAAAGGTCCTCTTAACCTTTGTTCCCCCTCACTCCCCAAGTAGATGGGATTATAGACATGTACCATGATTCTTGGCTCTGGGCTATTCTTTATAAATAAAAATGTCATTTTTAATGCTGACATTTTTACTTCTGTCTCTTGTGACAACAGGTTTGCAGAGATACACCCACACTTAAAAGTTTTTCTTTCAATCTGTATGGTGAGAAAATAAGGACCATTTCCTTTACTAATAGTTGCTACTACTTCATTTATAAAAACGTTTATGTAGATTTTCAAGGGTACTTTTATTATCCATAGCAGACCCATACATTTACCTGAAATTCATCCATGATACTGAATGTGTACTCATGCCTGGCAATGACATGATGACAATTTTTACACAGATCTGCCAAAACAAAGAGAAACTATGTAATTAAGTCTTGGAATGTTTCTTAAAACAGTAACATTTCTAGGGGCTGGGAAGGTGGTTCAGTGGTAGAATGCTTGCCTTGCATGCATGAGGCCCTGGGTTCAATTCCTCAGCACCACATAAACAGAAAAAGCCGGAAGTCGTGCTGTGGCTCAAGTGGTAGAGCTCTAGCCTTGAAGAGCTGAGGGACAGTACTCAGGCCATGAGTTCAAGCCCCACGACCAACCAAAAAAAAAACACACACAAAAAAGTAGCACTTCTATTCTCAGCAGAATAATGCTTAAGAAGAATCCTGTATGATAGTTAATGGCAGAAATCCATTATAACGTTGACCACAATCTGGCTGGGAATGTGGCTTAGTCGTGATTCCTCAGTACCACATATACGGAAAAAGCTGGAAGTGGTGCTGTGGTTCAAGTGGTAGAGTGCTAGCCTTGAGCAAAAGAAGCTAAGGGAGAGTACCCAGACCCTGAGTTCAAGCCCCAGGACTGACCAAAAAAAAAAAAAAAGAAAAGAAAAAAGAAAAAAGAAATCCACACAGTAATTGCTACATAATTAGGGTCTGAACTAAAAAGGTTTAGTGTGCATGCATTAGTTCCTACTGAAAGCTCTCTAATCAACTGACAGAAACTTAAATATGTTTTTTTAAGTAACCTGGCCCTAACTACTTAAAAGCTTTTATTCTCAGAATAAGAGTAAACTGTTCCTATTGCTATTGCAATCCTTAAAAAACAAGCAAACAATGCTGAATATTAGGGTAATTTTCTTTTTTTTTTTTTTTTTTTTGAGTGCTAGTAGTCAGACCCAAAGCTTCATGCTTGCTAAGTAAATGGTTTACCACTGAGCTACATTCCCAGCCTTTCAAAGTGAATTTAATAGTTACAAAAATGTAGTGAAAACAACAACATTGAAGAAAAACAAACACCCTGATTTACTGAACAGGGCCTGGGGCTAGGCACTGTCCTTGAGCTTCTTTTGCTTAAGGCTGGCACTCTATCACCTGAGCCACAGGGCTACTTCCAGCTTTTTCTGTGTATGTGGTACTGAGGAATTGAACCCAGGGCTTCATACATGCTAGGCAAGCACTCTACCACTAAAGCCACATTCCCAGCTTGCTATTTAGTCTCTTAAATCTTGTTAAAAACCCAGTCAGAGGGCTGGGAAGGTGGCTCAGTGGTAGAGCGCTTGCCTCGCATGCATGAGGCCCTGGGTTCGATTCCTCAGCACCACATAAGCAGAAACAAAAAAAGCTGGAAGTGGTGCTGTGGCTCAAGTGGTAGAGTGCTAGCCTTGAGGTGAAGAGCTGAGGGACAGTGCCCAGGCCCAGAGTTCAGGCCCACGACCGGACCTCCCCCCAAAAAACAAAAACAAACCCAGTGAGATAAATATTATCATTATCATACTTTCAGAAATAAGGACACAAAGACATACCGGTAAGTTAGTAGGACAACTAGTGAATGAGAAGGTGTTGGAACTAGAATTCAACTCCAGGCAGTCTGCATCAAAAGCCCTGCTCTCAACTATTATGCCCTCCTGCCTGGGTGAAGTGAATACAAACACTTTACAAGAAAGAAAATAATTCTAGTCAGGTATCCAGTGGCTCATCCCTATAATCCTAGCTACTACAGAGGCAGAGTAGGGTGATTTCAGTTTAAGATTAGCTTGAGAAGAAAATGTTTGTGACATTCTATGTAAAATACAAACAGCAAAAGCAGTAGGGACGTATGGTTTAAGTGGGAAAGCACCAGCCTAACAAGCATGAGGCTCTGAATTCAAATCCTAGTACTGCAAAAAGAAAAAGAAACAACATTTTCAATTGTCTGAGTCTATTCCACAGGCTTGGTGTTTTTCATATCCTAGTTTCAAAGTATTACCATCTGTACATTTATTCGTCAAATATATTTGGAATATATCCAAGAATTAGGAGACAAGAAATATAAATCTAAGCAGTTTTCTTTAGATAGGGGCAAGTAGTCCTCAACACTTCAATAGCTGTTGGAGGCCACTGCAAATTATTCTACAGGAGGAAGGGAAAATACTCATGGATGACTCTATTTTGCTTAAGGTGGTATGAAGGATTTACAAAGTTCCCTAAAAAAGAATTTGGTGCCTGAACCACAAACTTCATTTATCTGCAAAAGTCATTTATGGAGCTAGGTAGTGGCTCACATCTGTAATCCTTGCTACTCATGAGACTGAGATCTGAGGATAGCAGTCTGAACAAGAAAAAGAGGCAGGAAAGTCTACAAGACTCTTACATCTAATTAACCACCAAAGAGCCAGAAGTAAAACTATGGTTCAAGTGGTAGAGCACTAGCCCTTAGCAAAAAAGCTCAGGGACAGCACCTAGGCCCAGGACCAGCACACACATACAAAAGTCTTTTATGTAGAACATCTGATAATAGTAAATGAATACCGCATGAACTATACTTTCTTCTTAAAAACCTAATCAGTAACTGTGCTGCAACACAATATTGAAAGAGGCCTCAAAAAACATACATATACACAATATGTCTACTTCTAAAAGCTAGTTGAGTGCTAATAGACTTGCATGTTTTAAAGAAGTCAACTTACGATCATAGGTAATTATTTCTTCTCCATCCTCCTCTTTCAGGGATTTGTTAGTAATCAGCATAAAATCCCGCTTACTGCACACTGCACATCCTGTAAAGTTCAGTAGAAAAGATCCATTCTCCAGACAGGTGTTACCCTAAAATATCAAAAATAGGAATTTAATTTTCTTTTATTTTGAAATATTTGGTAAAAATTATAGACAATAATCTTTTAAAAAATTTTAAAAAATCTCTAAAGGGGAAAAACTTGTTTGAAGTTGTTTCAAAAAGGGAATTTACAGTTAGGTACTGGTGGCTCACACATGTAATCATAACTACTCAGGAGGCTAAGATCTGAGGATCACAGTCTGAAGCCAGTCAGGACAGGAAAGTCCATAAGACTCTTACCTCCAATTAACTACCAGAAAACTGGAAGTGGTGCTATGTTTCAAAGTGGCAGAGTGCTTACCTTGAGTGAAAAAGGTCAGGGACAGTACTCAGGCTCTGAGTTCAAGACTAATGATCAACAAAAAACCAAGGGGGGGGGGGGCGCTTGCCATACCCAGTATTTTTTTTTAAATTACCAGCTTCCTTAAAGAAATATGATTCATAAGTAAAACTAAAGTACAGTGTTAGGTCTGTAAATATCTGAGGATTACAACTGTGTTTAAAAGAAAGAACTAAGTACGAGTAGATATTTAGAAACAATAATAAAACCCAGTTATATGTGAAAAGGAAAAATTAGAAAAAGATAATACCCAATAATACTAAATGGAGGACACCATAAAACTTGGGATCTTCCCAAGTTTAGGCCAACTGTTACAAAACATTCTTGAGACCCCATCTCAACCAATAAAAGTTAGACATGGTGATATGTGCCTGTCATCCTAGCTAGAATTAAATTTTAATTAAAATGAAAACACTAAGTCAACACTAAAAATGGGACTGTTAACTATTAAAATAGCTTTTTCTTAAGCCTTTACCACAACATAACAAACAAAAAAGCATTAAAATGTACAAGATGTCAGTCTTTACAGAAGGTTGAGTAAGGTTAAGTTCTACAGGTCAGCAGATTGAGACAACAGTATTGAAGAAAGGGTTTACTTCATCACTAAGAAAATAACACATTCTTTGCTAAAGGCTTACTAATAATTGTTAAGGCATACATCATTTTATAAATAATTTAGCCTATAAGAGCAACAAATTAGTGTTTTTAAAAGTTAATACGATGAACATCACTCAAATCAGCATTTCTCCTAAGTATGCATGTACCTGATAGTACGTAAGTGCCATGAGGATTTAATGAGGAGCCAAATGAGTTTCTAACTTTCAAGGAGCTGAAGAAGTATCAGGGGACTTAGGACCCATCTTAAATGCCACAATGAAATCCTCCTGCATTTTGCTAGCCTCACAATCTCTCCCTTCTGAGAGGCCTCCTAGTTCTATGAATTAAGAAAAATTAACTCTGGTAGAGAGGAAATAAAAATATTACAATAGAGTTTGGAGACATAAACTTCCAGCTAAAAAGAAAAAGTAATTTGTTATATTAAAAAAATAACACTGGGCACTGGTGGCTCATACCTGTAATCTTAGCTACTCAGGAGGCTAAGATCTGAGGATCATAGTTCAAAGCCAGCCCAGGCAGAAAAGCTGTGAGACTCACATCTCCAATAAACCACCAGAAAACTAGAAGTGGTGCTGTAGCTCATGTGGTAAAGTGCTCACCTTGAGCTGAAGAGCTGAGGGACAGCAGCCAGGCCCAGAGTTCAAGCCCTAGGACTGACAAAAAAATTTAAAAAATAAATAAACTTCAATTGATAGACAGGCAAAAATTTCCCCTATCATCAAGCTGCAGTTTAATGACTGCTAATACATAGGCAAAAATGTCCCCTATCATCAGGCTACAGTTTAATGACTGCTTATACATGCCCCCATAACCATTACAACTATCCAGATTTTTTTGGCAGTACTGAAGTTTGAACTCAGGACCTTCTTGCACTTGAGCTACACCCCAGTCCTACCCATGTCAAGATACAGATCATTTCTCTCTTCATATTTTCTTTGCAGACTATCTCTAATCTCCATCCTATATCAAATATCCCAGGATGAGATTTTTTTTTTCTCTAGAGCTGCATGTAAGATAATTTTATATAGACATCATCAGTGTAATGTTTTATTCTGGCTTCTTTTAGTCTATGTTAATCATCTAGATAAGCTACACATACTGCTAAACCATAGCTTATTCTTGCCAAGTAGTCTTCCATGAATTCAGTTGATAATGGACAAGTGGATTTGTTTTAGTTTGGGGCAATAGTGGATAAAGCAGCTATGAAGATTCATATACAAGTCTTGTGTGTGTGTGTGTTGGTTGTTGGGCTTGAACTCTGGGCCTGGGCACTGTCCCTCAGCTCTTCAGCTCAAGGTGAGCCCTCTACCACTTGAGCCACAGTGCTACTTCCGGTTTTCTGGTGGTTTATTGGAGATAAAGGTCTCAACGGCTTTCCTGCCCGGGCTGGCTTTGAACCACAATCCTCAGATCTCAGCCTCCTGAATAGCTAGGATTATAGGTGTGAGTTCCTGTGCCCACTGCTCAATTCATTTTAATAAAACCACTTCCTTGTCATTTTGGGTTTTTTTTTTCTTCTGTTATTTGTGCTGTACCAGGGCTTGAACTCAGGGCCTTATACTTCATCTTTTTCTAAACATGACTAGCACTATAACACTTGAGCCACACCTCCAGTTTCAGGTTTTTTCTGGTTAACTGGAAATAAGAGTCTCTTGGATTTGTTTTCGCTGGCTGGTTTTGAACTGCAAAGCTCAGATCTCAGCCACTTCAATAGCTAAGATTATAGGCATGAGTCACTAGAATGTGCCTTTGTTGTTTTTTTTTTTTTTTTTAAATGTTCTTAGAAGAGCAGTAATGAATTTTATGAAATCTGATCTATCATTTTTCATTATATTATGATTTGTGCTTATTTTTGGTCGGTCATGGGGCTTGAACTCTGGGCTTGGGTGCACCCTTCAGCTCAAGACAAGTGCTCTATCGCTTAAGCCACAGCAGCACTTCTGGTTTTCTAGTGGTTTCCATTGGAGATAAGAGTCTTACAGACTTTCCTGCCTGGGCTCGCTTTGAACCATGATCCTCAGATCTCAGCCTCCTGAGTAGCTAGGATTATAGGCATGAGCTACCGGTGCCCTGTTCTTTTTTATTTTTTTTTGTTGGTCGTGGGGCTTGAACTCTGGGCCTGGGTGCTGTCCCTCAGTTCTTCAGCTCAAGGCGAGCGCTCTACCACTTGAGCTACAGCGCCACTTCCGGTTTTCTGGTGGTTTATTGGAGATAGGAGTCTCACAATCTCTCCTGCCCGGGCTGGCTTTGAACCGCGATCCTCAGATCTCAGCCTCCTGAGTAGCTAGGATTACAGGCGTGAGCCACCAGCGCCCGGCGCCTGTTCTTTTTTTTAAAGACACCTTCTCTTACTCCAAAGTTGCAAAAGGTTTTTTTTTGTTTGTTTTCTTTTAGAAGTTTTTTTTTTTTGGGGTCCGGTCATGGGGCCTGAACTCTGGGCCTGGGTGCTGTCCCTCAGCTCTTCAGCTCAAGGCTAGCGCTCTACCACTTGAGCCACACCGCCACTTCTGGCTTTTTTCTTTTTGCTTATGTGGTGCTGAGGAATCGAACCCAGGGCCTCAGGCATGCAAGCGCTCTGCTACTGAGCCACCTTCCCAGCCCTTCTTTTAGAAGTTTTGTAGCTTTAGGCTCGTAGATTGTAGATTTTCATGCTCTACTATGAAATACTTTGGTATGAGGAAATAATCAAAGTTCCATATAGACATCAAGTTCTAGCGACATGTATTGAATTTGTAGGAAAACCAAATGATTATACACACACACACACACACACACACACACACACACACACACAAATCTAACTTCAAAAGAGTATCTATATAATAGCATGAATATCACATATTTTCTCTCTCTCGCTCTCCCTCTCCCTCTTCTTTCCCCTTCTCTCTGCCAGTCCTGGGGCTTGAACTCTGGGCCTGGGTACTTTCCTGAGTTTTTGTGCTTAAGGCTAGTGCTCTACCACTTGAGCCAGAGCTCCATTTCTAGCTTTTTGTTGTTTGGAGATAAGAGTCTCACAGACTTTCCTGCTCAGGCTGGCTTTGAACAACAGTCCTCAGATTTCAGGCTCCTCAGTAGCTAGAATTACAAGCATGAGCCACTGGCACCTGGCTATGTTCTCTTGGTTACACCTGTTATAGATTCTTCACATTTCATAAAAATTACAGAATCAACTTAAATCTTTACTAAAATGGCTTCTGGATTCTGAATTGAGATTGCCTTGGATATAAAAGCTGATTACCAAGGACTCCGAAGAAATTGGGGGAAAGCAAATAATTTAAAAAGAAAGATCTCTATACCAATCTCAAATAAATACAACTCTGAGCTGGATTAAACCCAAAAACACAGCTGTTTTATACCATGTGACTTAACCTCTGAAATTCAACCTTGTAAGTAAGGCAGAATGTATTCTCTACAGAAACAGAGAAAAGAGAAGAGAAGGATCTTTCTTTTATGTGGTAAGTGAATACTTTATATGACAAGGGCAAGAATACTACAAAGGAAACATATGGGACTTTACATAAGAGCTTGGTCAGTGGACTATATTAACATCTAAATTTGGGAAAGTAAACTAAAGCTTACAAAGCACACAATATTTAGGGAAGCTTTTGAGACCCCCATAATAAGAGGAAAGTTAGAATGCAAACCAAATTAATTCCTCAATAAGGATAATAAACCCAGTTTCGGGGGGGGGGGGGAAGCTGACATGATAAGTATTTATCTAGTTGAAGATTTGTAAGAAATACCAACAAGTGTGCAAGAAAAAATACTTGAAAACCATGATTATGTTTGGTATGGCACAACAATCTTAAATTTGAAAAATCTGAAATTACTGACAATGGAACAACTCATTTTTAGGGAAAATCATCTAGATAATAAGTTAATGTATATGTTATGTCAAGGGAATGTTTATGATTAAATATAGTAGGCTGAGATACAGCTCAGTAGATGAGCACTAGGATAATTTCAAACCGCAGCTCCAGCATGAGTTTTGCTGATTTTTTTTTTCTTTTGACTTCCTATCCTCTATTTCAT